TTTTGTTTCTTAAAATCCTTACTTGAAGATGAACCACTGGAACTGGACACAGGACTCAACTAATGGTTTCACCAATGTCTAGTCCTCTGCTTATACAGCTGTTGTGGCCACAGCTTTACCCTGGCAATTTTTTTCAGTTAATTATCCTCCATGATTCCCAAGTCCTTTTCAGAATCACTGCATCCTAGCTATTTCCACTACCTGCAAGTGTGGCCTGCATTTGTACTGCTCAGGCGGTATGACTTAACACTTGGCCATATTAAAACATATAATATGCCTGAGCTTAGTTTACTAATACAGAACAAAAGAAAAGTTAGCCATTGCGTGGTAATCTGTAGTCCTTGTTATTTCCTATGCCCCTGATCTTTGAATGGTCTGCAAACTTCATCAGTCATGACTTGGGGGGGTTTCTTTATTGCTGACCCAGAAAAAAAAATTATACAATGTGCCCACTGATTGGCAATTCCTATTTTTAATATGTACCCACTCTCTCTCCATTGGTCTGTCTGTTCTTGATGGGCAAGCCAATTTCTGTATCATCGTTGACTGTGCTGTGCTAGTGAGCATAGATACCTGTTCTAAGTGCATGAAATAAATGCATGGGGGGTATAGGTTGTAGTCGGGTTGGTCTAAGGACATAGCCAGACAGTGTTCTTTGGGTAAATCTGATATCTTTTGATAGCTTTATGACGTAAAGGTATACTCGTGTGCAACGGGAAGATTGCATTTCTAAGGTGGTGCATGTGTTTGCAGTGGCGGAGGGTACGTAGTGTCTATACTAAGACCTTCTGCAGGTAACGAGAGTCATTACTTAGACTTTTATACACCTGGATCAGACTCATAAGTTCCTTTTTAGACCAAAATTTTTCTCTCGGTAAAAGCTTTTTTCTTTAGCCGTAAGTGTCTTGGTAATGACCATAATGGGAAATGAAATATCAGGAAAGGTGGTGGTGGTTAAATGGAGGTTTGCTGGAGTGTGGAGTAGTTAAAAGGCTCCCAGCCTGCATCACATTGCACCTTGGCCGCGTTGTTTACCTCGAGAATTCAGTCACTGTGCAAGTGGCGTTATCAAGGACATAACTCCCCAGCATGTCTGACTGCAAATATGAAGTGTCACAAAGGCCATAAAAAAAAAAAAAAAAATTGCTGTATTTTTCAGCAAAGAAGAAAGTTAGATGTACATGGAAGTTTGTTTTTATTAATACAGTAAATGATGGACTATTCTGTTTGTTTTTATAAATGCTTGCTTGAGAGCTTTATGTTGATTTAATAGGCAGCTTTGTGCATAGCCAATTTTTTAGGGACAGGGAAAAGAAAAAGAAGAGAAGAGATCAGCAATATAAGTGAAAAGTAGGGTGTCTGCTTTCTGATTTATTTATTTTTTAATGTTTTACCAGAGGTCAGGCAACCTTTTTTTTTTTTTTCTTTTCAAACTCCTTTTAACTCTTTCTTTTTCTCACTGCCTCTTCCCATTTCCCTGCTTCTCTGCTCCACCTGTTCTTTGGGATCATCCCCAATCTGTTTCTGACCTGGTGAAATGCTGAGCAGTGCTGCACATACCCAGCTGTCAATGGATATTGGGAGCACTCAGCAGCCTGAGGATCAAGACCTCTTTTATATCTTCTTCTTTTGGCAAATTGTTCGGCATCCCAAGCAGTATCTCCTGTACCTCTCTTCTCTCTATCGAAACATGCTTTGGAACCCTCTTGTCTTCCAGAAGTTTTCCCTGCAGCAGTTGCCCTCCCTCTGCGTGCCTATTTTGTACTGTAGGGGTGTAGGTTGTAGCCATGTTGGTCTAAGGGCAAAGGCAGACGAGGTTCCTTGGGTGGATCTGTTATCTTTTTTTAGACCAACCCAAATGCTTGGAGAATAGTTATTAAGCAAGCTTTCAGGTTCAAAAACCCTTCGTCATGCTAAGGAAGTTTCAGCAGTTGGTGTGTTGTACAGTTTTACCTTCAATAAGATACAGGCAGTCCTCGACTTACAACGTTTCGAGTTACAATGTTTCGCACTTACAACCTTTCTAAATTAATATTGTTTCAACTTTCTGATGTTTGTTTCGACTTTACAACGCTTGATCCAATACGACGCCATGCCAGCGAGCAAGTTCGTTGTGTCGCCCATCTCCCTGGAGAACGTCTGTGCAAACTTCCTTGGAAACTTTCTTTAAGAAAGCAGACAAGACTCCAGAAAAACCTGGAGCTAAGACTCCTGAGAAGACACCAGCCAAGAACCCTTCAAGAAGTCCAACCAAGAGTCCTTCAAAAAGTCACCTCAAAGAAGTCCTTCCAAATCAATATGATTGCTATTTACAATATAAATGCATTAATGTAGCTATACTAGTCATCTATAATTGATTGAGTACAAGATTCTGGGGTATTTTTGGTGAAAATAAGGTATCTGGCCTTGATTCAGGAACCAATCCCCATTTATAACGTTGTTTCTTACGGGAAAAATGGTTCCAAGTTGCAACGTTTCGACCTAAGCCGTGGTTTTCAGGAGCCAATTATGTCGTAAGTCTGAGGACTGCCTGTAGTATCTTCTCCAATTCAAGCCTTTGAGGGAGTGGGGGCACAGCTTTTTTGTTCCTTACTTAATCTGCTCTGCCTTTTGTAATATGCTACAGCTCTATGTAAATAATCACCCGGTAGCAGATAACGGGAAGAGGAAGAGGGGGGCTTCCTGGTAGATGGCAGTGACCTCTTAAGGCTAGCCAAAGGGAAGTGCCGATCCACTCTAAAGGGAGTACCATTCGGTCCTTGACCTAGGGATTGTGCCTGCAATTTTGTAACGCGTCCATTGGGTGCAAATTGGGAAAGAGAGAGATTCCCTAGATTGCTAACGAGGGTCTGGGGAATTTTCTCCATCTTGTAAGAAAAAAAACATTCAATATTTAATGCATAGATTTGCATGCAGAGTCATAATGTGTAGGCGCAATGTATTGTACATGAGCCGCACACCTAAATACTGCTATGATAGCCAGGCTGAATAGAACAGAATTTTAAGCTTCTACATCATCCCGGCAGGGTCACAATTCCCCATGAGTTTGTATCTCTTTTAAGAAACATTTGGATGTCTATCTTGTGACCCCAGCTGACTTCCTGCCCCTGGGGCAGGGGGCTGGACTCGATGATCTTCCGAGGTCCCTTCCAGCCCGAATGTCTATGAGTTTATGAAACAGCACAGAGTAGAGTAGTGTGCTGTAACCCCCTCGTCACTGCTGGTTGCAGAAACCAATAATTGTCCCAAATGACATTGAACCTGAGTTTTGATCATGTAGGAAAGGGAGCAGATTTCAGTCTTCATGGCATGGTCTTTCTGGTGTTGGGAAAAGTCCAATATCCTGTCAAACCACTGTACTCCTCTTGTAAGCAGCATCAAAGTCCTAACTGGTCCTGGGTCATTCTTGACTCTTAGTAAGCAATGCATAATTGGCTTATGTGCTCTCTGCTATCTGTTAATATTTATTAAGGGATCAGACCTTATCCTGGCTTGCTGCGTACTAAATCCCCTTGCTTTTCATTTTTAATGTTTAGCTGACAGGAATACTGTGAACTTACATTCTGTATTATAAGCAAATGTCTCTACTTATTTTACTAATATTATCTCAGCTTATCAAAAGAGAGAGAATTTAAAAATTCAATCCACACTTATGCTTATAACTTTTTGCATTTCTTTTAGTTTGAACAATGAGATCAGTCTTGCTCTTATTGCCAGGCACTTTCAGCTGCGTAGTTCTGCAGTGCTCAGGTCTCAGACCTTTCGAGAGGATCACGCTTTGGACACTTTTTCCTGTTGGATGTAAAACTTCATCCACCCACATTCATGAAATGTAAAGATTGAGTTAAGCTTTAGTTGTCAGTTTTGCTTTAATCCCCCAGTTTGTTATTCCCAGGGGCATTTCTCCAGATTCATTTTTTGTGCCCCCAGTCTGAAATCAGTTAGGAGTCTCTCTTTTTAGTACCCAGTGGAGATTAGTTGGTTGGTCACTGTTGAAAAACACTGGCAGATGAGATTTACCCGGGGCCTGCCTAAATCATGCCAGTCTAAAGCCACACTACCTGTTAGTTTGTTGCTTCAAGAAAATGTTTTCCTATTTTTGAGATTTTAAAGTGAAAATTGTATTTTAATGAATCGCCAAAAAGATTAATCTCTCGCCAAGTGCTTCAAAGTGCAAAGGATTTTTTCTTGGTTCTCACCAAATTTGTGACTGTGATTCCTATTCAAGTCAGATATTTTGCAATTTGAGGAAGGATCTGGGGTACACAGGACTGACTCTTGGGTTTCATAGTTTCTGCTGTGCTACTGGTTCACTGCAACACATTAGGCAAATTATTTTTTTTTCTGTCTGTGATGCAGAAACTGTGTTGACTGTCTGATGGCTTTAGGAGGTTTGATTTTGTGGTGTGTTTGATTGGAACCGATGCTTTTTTAAGAAGAGTAAGCAGATGGAAGATGTATTCCTTTTTTGCAGAGCTTTCTCACTTGCTACCCACATTATTTCATGGTCCACTATACTGTGTTTTTTTTTAATTGAACAGCCTTAAGAATAGCTTCCACAATGTACATATGTTGTATATAAGCCTTCCTTGGACCTGAGGAAGGCCATTTGATGCCTGAAAGCTTGTCCAGCATCTCTCTCAGCTGTACAGTTGGTCCAGTAAAAGATATCATGCAAAAACCTTGCTCCTCTTATATCTGATAAGAAATTTTCAGGTGCTCGTGATATTAATTTGTTAGGATCTGTTTGTATGGCACATTGGCTTTTTTTACAGACAGCTTTAAAACTATTGCTTTTCTTTCACCTTTACATTGGCTTTAAACCACGTTCTGGATAGCCTTTGGTGTGGGGTTCTGATACTCCGGAGGGAGCAGTGGCTATTCCCCTGTGACCAAAGGATAAACTGAGGCTGAGGGCAGTAAGGAAGGTGAGGACTAAGAACATGGAATTGAAGGTTAAATAAAATGGTTTTTAAAAACCAATCTCTTTTTCCTTCCAGGTGTCAGCAGTGGACTCCTTGGAGGGCCCTCTCCTTCAGGTGGAGGGACTGAGTGACCTGAGACTGGAGCTCCATAGTAAGAAGATGAACATGCACTTAGTCCTAATAGATGAATTACACCGTCATCTTTACATCAAGTCTACTAACCGCGTGGGACAGCGGAACAAGGAGAAAGGGAGAATAAGGTGGGTTTTGAGTGGCATGAACTCAAAGTTTGCTTGAAGCTGGTGTTTTTTTTTTCTCGTGAGTAGGAACCCTTCCTTGGAGAACGCCCGTTAGCTTCCGCAGTCCAACCTTTTGTGCAAAGAAAACTCTCTAGACTGATGCATTGTTGTCCTCTCAAGCCTGCAGGCAGATGGCTCCAGTGTCTCTGCTGCTGCATAACAACTTCCAAGATGAATCGCTGTAAAAACAGTCCACCGTCTTATCAGCTTTCACTGATGCTATTTGCAGCTCTGTGGGTAGCAGTGAAATTGAAAATAATCAGGTCAGTTCTTCAGCTTTAGGAATGCTAGAAGTAATATTGGCGGCAGGCAGCGGGGGGCGAAGACGCAAATAAAGGCAGGGGAGAGCTGGTAGAGTGTTTTCCCCATATAACCCGACTACCAATTCCATATTCAGGCAGTTCTGGGATCAGGCAAGGGGAGGAAAAGAGAGAACATGTACTCCTCACCTCTTTCCGCAAGCTGGAGAGGTTAGAAAACTTCATACTAATCATAGCTACTAGCCAGAGGTGCAGCCTTCCAATTTCTTAGCAGAGTCCACGGATATCAGCTTGAATGTGTTATCCACGTGAGAAACCACCACCCTGTTGCTTCTGATCAGTGGGATCCCTAATTAAGTTTAGTCCCTAGGTTGCAAGCCTCCGTATAGAAGAGGGTTGGTGGCTAGAAAACACAAATGCTGGGGGGTAAGCCAGGAAAGAGAAATATGATGATGGACTGGGCAGGAGATTTTTTTTTTTTAATATGGCGTGAGAGAGAACAAATTGTGAAAAGGTGGCAGAAAGTAGAGTACAGAGAATCGGGGAGATACAGGAAGACTGAATATAATCAAAATAGAGAAAATGAATGCTGACTCCTTATGGAAAGGAGTAAGTTAGGGAACCCTGGACAAGTAGAAGACTTTCCCAAAATAAGAGGCAATGCAGAAAATGACATTAAGTAAATTAAGCAGAGATTTGATTTGAAGCTAGAATTTCTAAGCTAGAGGATTGTTAGCGAGTCCTCTGTCTCTTGTTCCCTCGCTCCATTACTTAGAAATAGATAAAACACCAAAGCTCTGCTTCCCCCATCTTTTAAATGCACTAACAGAGGATTTTCTTGTATGCCTGGTACAGGGAAACTCATCTCTTTCTTCCCCTTTCTTCTTGGGTACGATGCTGTCGTAGAACCTCAGCATGGCCCAAGTTGGGGATGGGTTTATCACTTCATGTTAGTACAGCAGCTAGCTCAGTGCATGACCCTGCACCATTTGGGTTCAGAGTGCTACTGCAATACAATTAAGTAATGAATTTGCTTCTTTTAATTTCACTGCCTCGAATTGTACAGCACCTTCCATTCCTCCAAATTGTTGATGTTGCGGCATTGATGAGGGGAACGGGGGGTGCAGGGGGTTTCAGTGCTGGCCAGTAGCTTAGTCCTTGAGCTAATAGGTGTCAGGTAAGTGTTTCCATCTCCAAGGCAACATACCAAGCTCATTACAGTAGCATTCTTGACTTCCTCTTAAAAGTGATCTCTTGCTCTCATTTCTCTTGCTTCGTCTAGCTTTCTTGTCTTTCATTATATGACCAGGCAGTGTGACATGCTCCTGGCAAGTAATACAATATGAATTTATTAAAGGAGCACTTTTTTCTTTCTAGGTAGTAGAAGTACTTTTTTAAGGGGTGGGGGTGTTGAACAGGGAGGCTTGCTTTGCGAGAACAAAGTATGTGTGTGGAAGGACGTACTGCAGCAAAATCTGATCTCCTCGGGCCTCATCATTCAAGTAGAGCCACACAGGTGGGTGTGAAGCCCTAAAGAATGTAGTAAAGAAGCATGTGGGTACAAGAGTGTCTCAGAGGCCTAACAAGCAATTTCTGTGCCCTGGGTTGGGGGGCAGTGGTGGCCAGGCCAACCACTGCTGTTCTTGTTCCCCTCTAAATAAATAAATCAGTGCCTGGGGCTGGTGCCATGTTTGCCCGCTGCTCTGCCGTGGCTGTGTGTTTGGACTTGGGTTGTCTTTTTTGCCATTTCCTTGTGGTTTTGCCTTTTCATGTGGTTGTGCTCTGTCTTAAACTTAACTTCTCCAAGCTTCTCAGAGCATGGACTGTGGGCATGTTCTTCACACTGGCTAGCGCAGTGGTGTCCTGACGTATGGCTGGAGTCCTTAGGTACTACTCTGATACATGAATGAATTTGCCGTTGATTTATTTCCTTCCTTTCCCACCTCTCTCAGTTCACTTGTGAAGGATCCATCTCCTGGGCCTCTTATGGATGTCACTAATTTGTCGACGCCTCGGAAGTTCCTCGAGGCTTCCCAGTTCAGCACTCCTGGGAGCTCAAGCAGTGAGTATTGCACATACTAATGCCTGACATGTTTCATCAAGTGATCATTATTCTGATTATTAGCATTATCCCCATTTCGCAGCTGAGTGATGCTGAGGCACAGAGATACAAAGTGACTTGCTCAAGGTCATATAGTGAGTCACTGGCAGAGCCAGGAACACAACTCATTCTGCAGCTCCCAGACAGATATTAAGCACTGTCACAGGCTAGCAAGCTTCTTGACAAGTCATCCATTTACCTATTCTATTTTTTTTTTCTTTCTCTGCTCAAATTAATTACATTTCATTCTATCTGCCTGTCCTGGTGTTGATCGTCTTCTTGATATCCCGGCCAGGAGGGAGATTTGCAGTTAATTCCCTTTGGGGTGAGAGATCTCCTTTACATTATCTAATGTAGGAAGGCAGGCACGCAGAGAGTGTAAATGTATTTTTCTGGGTTAGAGCCAGAAATCAGAACTCCTTCTTCAAGAAGTCTTTGTGGAAACTTTCTATTATTTTAACTTTTGGAGAAAGCTCTTCCTGTATATGTTGCTTGCTTTTCCTCTGTTTCCTTTCTACATGTATTTTTAAGGACACTCGACCAAATCATATTTTGCACTTCAGGGTGTCTTCCATCTGAGGATTTAAAAGCATCATATAAATGGTTGAGTTAAGCTTCACATGGTCCCAGTGAGGTTAGGTAGGTGGGTTTGTCTTGGTTTGTATGAGGAAAAATGTCACAGGCATACGTGCTGACCAGGTAATAATTGACATAGTAAGGAACAACATAACCAAATGTGAACACCCTTTTCTTAGAGCAGATAAATTATTGCCGCCCTTTGTAAATTTTTTGGAACAGAATTCAAAGCCACTAAATTGGCTTAAGAGGATATCTTAATGGCTTTTAGTTTTCTCTGTGCTCTTGACCATATTTTGTCTTTCTCCCCCCATCCTCATTATTTTTTCCCTTCGATTATTTTTTGCTGTCCATTATTCCTGTCTCTCTCTTCTGCTTCTCACTTTGGTCACACGTGGCTTCATTGGTTAACTTGTCTTTCCCCTCACCTTCATGAGACTCTGCTGTAACAGAGCCCTCCCTACAGGGCTGTTAGGCCATCTCTTTGAAGAGAGAGAGAGTGGACCTTTATTACTAGTTATTATTGGGGGCTGTGGTAATAGCATTGCTTAATGCCATCTAAACACCACTTTTCTGTGCTGGCATCCATGACTAGGATATAGGCACCATGCTGAAACTATGGGAGAAACTGGGCTTTCTCTAATTTTCCTCTCCTTGTTAGAGAGGCTGGTCCAGTGATGTTCTCAAGGTTCAAAGAGGCAGAAGAGACCTTTGAGTTGGAAATGGGCAGCAGAAGTTCTGACTCCAGTCTCCCTACTACAAACACTCGCCTGCCCTCTTTAATACTTTAACTGACGTAATTTATTTGCTTCTGTTGACTATTCCCCACTTGAACTCTTCGGCCTGTGTATTAGCGGCTGTTGTTGTTGAGCTGCTTGTAGTGTCCCAGAGGACTAAGTTTGGTAGGTCCACCTTCTGCTGCATATTTCACATGTGAAGAACAGCAATCTCATCGATCCATGAATATCCATACCAATAAAAGGCTGAAGCGAACTTGAGGTGCTACAACAGGATTGCTTTTTAGTAGTATTTAGGACTTCTCATTATCCTACGTTTCAAAGCCTTCCACCAGTTCAATAATTATCATGACATCTTGTGAGTCAGGGAAGCACTCGTTAGTACTCAGGTTTGGCCAGAAGATCTCACACACGTCTCTTCAGTGCAGACATAACTGAAGCGAGAAGTAAATTAACATATGGACTGAACAACTGTAGTTCCCCTTTTTTATTTATTTATTTTTTTTTAAAAGAGGAAAATCCCATTTTCTGAGAAGTGCCTGCTTGTTGAGAACACTGGTCTCCAGGGACACTGAGTCCTCATTGAACAGTGTCCAATTCTAGGTTACTGTCCTGATTTTCAAATGTATCTGTCCTTACATGGAAATGGCCCCGTTTGAGAGATCACCTTTCCCACCGTGACTCTGATTTTCCAGGTCACATGCTCAATGGGAATGATGATTCTGGTTATGTACCGAAGGGGCCGACTGCCTTTTCCCTTATGCCTCTTCTTAGTCCTTAAGGTCAGCCAGGATAACCTCCTGCAGGTACCATCAGTGTCCCAAATTTTGGTCAAAACATGTAGGAGATCATACATGTAGGAGTCCCTCAGGTCTGGAACTACTTCTCCCTTGAGGCCCACCAGAGCCCGAGTCTTGACATCTTTTGGAAGCACTGTAAGACCTTCCTATTTGAGCAGGCTTTTGGCAAGCAAGACTATGCTGGGATATGTTTTGGGGGGGTTTCTGTTGCATGTTGATACTCTAGTTGCCTTTTAAGTTGTTTTGTTCCCTTGTTTATTCCCCTCTTTTAAAAGTTATTCTGTTCTCTTAATGTAAGCTGCCCTGAGCCTTTGTAGGGGAGGGCGACAAATGCATTGAATTAACTAAATGGATAAATTGACAGGGGCAGAGTTCTCTTTCCTGCGGTTAGACATATCTCGGGAACTAGTCTAGCAACATGGAACTTGGGGCAAATGAACTAATATTACCACACTCAGCCAAATTTGAAACCCAGCTCTTTGCTCAGGCACACCTAAAACACATGGGTACCACAGATAAACCCGGAGTCCCTAGCTCTCTGCCCTATGTTTTGATGATTTCCCTTTCTAAAAGGATGTATTCTGCAAAGACTCGGTGACTCCCCATTAGAAGGATGCCAGCATGCCTCTACATGTGTTTTTATTGTAGTCATACGTGGTAGCATTATTCACTACACCACCTCCATGTAGAAGAGTGAGACTTGGGGGGATTTGCTCACCTGGACTTTTCAGGCATTTGTACTTGCACAAATCTTGAAAATATCTTCAAATGAAAAGGCTGTTCCTATTGTTATCTTTGTATTCTGTTAGCCCCCATAATGTTCCAGTTGCTGTCCACGCATGCAGAAAGACAAGTCAGTATGCTATGAGTCAACCATGCTATGAAATGGGATGTAGAAATAGTACTCCTACAGTGCATCTAAATGTGTGGGTATTTTCTGACTCGTTTAAAATACAAGCCACGTGCCCAGCTCCAGCTTTTCTCTTTTGTGCAATACAGTGTTCGTCATATTAAGATCACTTGTTCCAAGTTCTTTTGACGGAGGATTATCTGACATTTTATGTGGGCCCAGGGCTCCTAGGGGAAGGGGGTAAGAACAGGGAGGCAGAGCCTCTAAGGGCCAGATCCTTGATAAACATTAGTTGCCGCAGCTCCAGTGACTTCAAAATCAAGAAAGCAAGAAAGTCGAGAGCCAGATTCTCAGTTGATACGAACTGCTGTAGCTTCATTAACTTCAGTGGAACTACGCCAGTACACATTAGCTGAGGATTTGACAAGTTACTTGTTCTTTTTCATTTGTTTGCAGTGGCTGTTCAGGTCCAAAACACCAGGCTGTACTCTTTCCTGGTCTCCTCCCTTGCGTTGCCCCACTCTGCAAGGTGCTCAGCGGGTATCCATCAAACTCATCAAGAACATGAGCTTGGTGTCAGTTAATCTAAAGTATGAAAGGGTCTGTTGTATTAGTGTGAAGCTATAGGTATAATTTTGTGAGCACAATGAGCGTGTATATTTTCTATATTTTCAGAGTTTTGTTGAAAGGTAGCCCCAGTAAGTAAGCTTTTTTTTTTTTTTTTTTTAAGGCAAACAGATGGTCATTATCCAAGACTTCAGAACCATACCGTGTTGGTATTGCAGTATAAAATAAAACAGGAAACCGTTGTTGCCTTCGGCCATTTAAGTTCCTTAGTCTTTTATTGACGAAACAGTAAGTGGCCATGCATATTAATGCCCTTTTTAAAAAGCACCGAGTTACTCGACCCATCGCTGCGATGGTTATGCCAGGATTGAGTCTCTTTCCACACTTGTTGCCCAAGGGACTTGTTACCTCGTGCTCTAAAATCTTTACAGGGAAATTAGAGCTGTTCTTACTGCACTTCAAACAAACCAAACCTGCAGTAATTTTGGTTCTAGACAAACCATTGCAGCAATAATGTGCTTTCCTCCTCTTGCCTGTTCAGAGAAATAAATTTTACTTCCATATTACCTTGCTCTGCTTGAGTTGTCAGTGCTTATGAGAACTGCTTTGCTGCCGGTGTCGTCTTGGAACTACAAAACGTGCTTATTCCCTCTGTGAGCAGCTCCAAAAACTGCGTTTCCCAAGCAGCTTATGAGAGCACGGCATTGAATTTCAGCAAGAGCCAGGCTGGCAAGGGAGCCTTGGTGTATTAATGAAATGCAGTGCATTGTTTGCTGTTATTCTCAGTGATGTGCAAATCCTATGCCAACATGATAAGCAACCGAGTAATCAAATGAGCCTTTGACCCCAACGGGGAGGATAAATATACCTATTGATAGGATCAACGTGGTTATTTAGGAAACTGAGTCCAGTCACTCTCTGTAGTTTCATCAAGCTACTTCAAACACACAAGTAGTCCCACTGAGCTCTAGCTAGGAACATTTTACATGCTTAAGCACATTCTTATCTTTAAGCACCTTGCTGGAGCAGGGCTTGAAAGTGCACTTCTGTGCTTTAAGGGGTCTGTGAAAATGCTATTGTGACATCCCCTTTCATTGGCGCTCAGTTACGTCCAGTTTAAACTTGCTCAGTTGTTGGATAGAAAAGGGTATATTCTTTTGCTAGTAGTTTCACAGCAGGCTCCAAGAGTCAAGCCGGGTTCTTTTCTTCTACTGCTTAATTAGCAATCAATGCTAAAGCTTCCACCGGCTAAATGATTCTTTGTCATACCTGGAGTACTCCGTTAGCCTTCATCTGAGGACTTACTCTGAAGTCCCACAAGGGACACAGTTTCTCCTAGAGAACCTCCTTTTGTTCTTGAGGAGGCTTCACCCTGACTTTCCAATCCCAGGGTGAGCTTGCAGTGCTGGGGTGTTGAAAAGAAGCCCATCA